TATGTTTATTCAAGAGTGTGAAAAAATTTAAAAAGTTAAACTACTGGTGTATGGCATTGTGCCTTAAGGCAAATTATTGGAACTTCTTGTACCAAAAATTAATTTTTTTTAAAAGCTTTAAAAATGTTTGAAAACTAAAAAAAATAGATTTTTGAGAATTTGAATTTTTTTTTCAAAGCAATTCCGTAGCCGTTTTAGAGACAATATCGAAGCGCGTAAGCGCCGCGTCGCATCCTTAAGGATAAACATTGGTACGGAACCCATAGAAGTATAAACAAAATCAGTGGTTAGCGCATGGGTTTGCCATCAGACAGATCAATCCCTGTCATGGACAACCCGATATCGAGCAATAGCAATATCAAATTTCACTTATTGTTAGAAATATAGTTGTTAAATATAGATGTTAAAGAGTGGGTCCAGTTTTCGGGTAAAATAGTCATTCCCGGGAATTGCTGCATCAAATAATAATAATTCAGCCCCATTAGATAAATTCTAATAATAAATATCTTTGGGTTACCATCTAAAACACGATGTAAGGAGAAGTTTCAGCTCAACATCTTATAAAATATAAAAGGTTTTTGATCGCTGTTAAAATGAAAAAAAAAATGTGAAAAGAGAATCAAAATATATGTTCAACCTTAACCTGTATACCTGATGTCTACATGTCCACCTGTCTACCTCTTCACATTTATTACCGCCTATCTTTTTATCTATCTACCTGTTCACCTGTTTACCTTTCTATCTGTATACCTGTCCACTTATTTATCAATTATTAGTATACATTAACAATATATTAGAATATTTATAAAAATAATGTGTAGAGAGCAACAAATGTCAATTTTTTTTGCTTATCCAAAACCACTGGATCTGCCTTCGCAAAAATGTAATCATTTATTACATTTATTTATTTATTTATTTCACAAGCCGTCAGTATAATGATATTATAATAAGGCTCAAGTCAATATTTTGCAGATTTAATATACTTTAATTAACTATTATCTATTTTATTACTTACTTATTTATTATTTAATTTATTTACTATAAACTTATTTATATTTAGTTAGTTTTAAATATTTTTAAATATAAGTAGTTTGTTTTTTGCAAGTATTTGTTTAAAATTTAATAAGTATTTTGATAAACTTTACAATACTTTTACAATATAATTATTTTGTTTAACAAATTTTAGGTTAGCATTAACACAAGTAAAATATTTTTTAATTTATTCAAATTAGTTGCTCTGTTTTTTCTAAAATATTCTTAGCACTTTTTGCTCTGTATATTCCATAGGGGTGGACTTGCTTTAACCAAAAATTAACCACAACGTCTCGCCGACAAAACGAATCGAATGTCTTTTGAATCAAACTAATGGTTGCGCCGTTCTCGTAAAAACTGATTTCTCATTTTCTGCACTTTTTGCTCAAGTTTTTCCGAATCTGGACTTGTGTATTTGCCAAAAACTAATCAGCACGTCTGCCGATCAATAGAAATCGAATGCTTTTTTAAATATTCAAATCTGTCATTGATCAGTGCTCCCGAAAACGTCGACGAAAAATTGTATCCATACACGCATACACATACATACATGCATATTTTTTTCAAAGGTATGCCAAATTGTTCAGAAAAACGTGAAACGTAAAGATATGCAAAAATTTTCATTTTCAATTTTTTTTGCCAATACTATTACTTACCCTATGGGAAGTTGGCATATATCATTTCCTTGATTTTCAGAAAAATATATTTCACAATTAGTACCATCGCAATGATTGGTTTCTCTTTTTTAACTTCCCGTAGGGTAAGTTATAGTAATCGCAAAAAAAATCGAAAATGAAAATTTGTATATATCTTTACGTTTCAGAGGTTTCTGAATATTTTGGCATACCTTAGAAAAAATGGATGTATGTGTGTGTGTGTTCGGATACAAATTTTCGTCGACGATTTCGGAAACACGGATAAAGCGATTTCAATAACTCAAAAAACATTCGATTCGTATTGATAAGGAGACGTGCTGATTAGTTTTTGGCGGAGGCAGGTCTAGCCGTTCTGAAGATATGGGGCAAAAAGTGCCAAAAACAGCAACTCCGTTTTTAAGAGAACGGAGCGTCTGATTTGAATAATTCAAAAAACATTTTACTTGTATTAACAAGGTGAAGAACTGATCCAATTTTCATGAAGGCAGGTTTAGCGGTTTCGGAGATCTAGTAAAAAAAGTAAAAAAAAAAATGCCATTTGGCGGTTAAAAATGATCATTAACAATAAGTATAAATTTTGTTTACATTCCTATGGGTTCCGTACCAATGTTTATCCGTTAGACGGCGACGCGGCGCTTACGCGCTTTGATATTTTATCTCTATGCAGTTAAAGCAGTACGATTGCTTCGAAAAAAAGTTCAGAATTTCCAAAATATTTCAAAATTTTGTTCAAAAAGTCTGTTCAAAAATCCAATTTTTTCAGAGTAAATTTTTTTCAAAAATGTTAACATCTTTTTAAAAAAAATTTTTTTGGTACGGGAAGTTCCAGCAATTTGCCTTAAGGCACGATGCCATGCGCCCCACTAGTTATTGTTGTCATACTTAATTACAATTTAAGTTTGTTGTTTATAAATTGTTTTATAAAGCCAGGAAGTTTGTGTATAAAGAGACGTTCTCGCTGCCTGCCCTGGATAATCACAGATAATTTTGGATAAATAATTACTAGTAATAATAGCTAGAACAGATGTCGTCTATATAATAGCACTCTATTTATATGGATGGCTCAGACAAGGCTTAGATTTAATAATTCAAAGACGAAACGGATGGCTTAAGATTGAACATTTCCGTTTCGAGTTGTGTTCTGTTGTCCAACACACCCATCAAAATCTGTGGGCAGCCCCGGCGGCTCTCTTATTAAAACGTACCAGCGAAATTTTATAGACGAACACATTACAGAGGTGTCAAAAGAGTGGGTCGAAACTGTCATTTTAAAATTACTTTTCGACTTCTATTGAATTATCTAATAGCCTATTGTTAGTATGAAATATTATGTGGTATTAAAATATTTTATGGTGACGAATTGTTATTATGCGAACTGTTGAACTTTGTCATATTTTATTATCTTCCCGTAGGGTAAGTTATAGTAATGGCAAAAAATCGGAAATAAACATTTTTATATATCTTTACGTTTCAAAGGATTCTGAATATTTTGGTTGAAAAAATGAAGAATGTGTGTGTGTATGTATGTACGGATACAAATGTTTGTCGACGATTTCGTAAACACGATTGGCATTGATGGAGAGACGTTTTTGGCAAACGTAGGTCCAACAGTTTCAAAGATACGGGCAAAAAATGCCAAAAATGGTATCGCCAATGTTTAAAAATCCAAAATCTAAACCATTGTATATTCTTTCGTTGTTAGTTTTTCTTTCGTTGTTAGTGAGCACTGTTGTTCAGTTTACGAGATCTTAATATAATATTTAAGTATACGATATTTAATTGTTTTATAAAATTTATTTTTAAGTTCCAGTAGGGTAAGTTATAGTAACCGCAAAAAAATCGAAAATGAAAATTTTTATATATCCTTACGTTTCAAAGGTTTCTGAATATTTTGGCAGAACTTAGAAAAAATTGATTTATGTGTGTGTGCGTGTGCGTGTGTTTGCGTGTGTGTGTGTGTGCGGATACAAATTTTTGTCGACGATTTCGGGAACACCGATCAACCGATTTGAATAATTCAAAAAACATTCGATTCGTATTGATAAGGAGACGTGCTGATTAGTTTTCCGATTTTAATCATTCAAAAAACATTTCACTTGTATTGACAAAATGAGGAACTGATTAAATCCATATAGAGCAGATCCAGCGGTTATGGACTCTTTATAAAGTCTTTATCTTTATAAAATAAGTTAAAAAAATGTCAGTTGGAGAGATTTTAATAATGTGTACACATTTTGTGTAATTTTTTTTTGGGTTCCGTACCAAGATTTTTAATTACGGTAGTAGTTCCAGCAATTTGCCTTAAGACACGATGCCATGCACCCCACTAGTTATTTTTAATCAATAGATTTTTCATATAACATCTATAAAAGCTTACATAACATAACCTTTATAACCTTTTAACTTTTACCTTTTGGGGTAAAAAGGACCAACTGAAACTTTCCCCTGGAAAGATGTAAACAATAAAAAATAGTAAATATAGTCAAAAAAGACAATTTTAAAATAGATTAATCAAATTAATAGATATTCCAACTGTGCTGATGAATATTTCTGAAGAAATACAAGATCAGGGTTATATATACGACCCATAAAATTTATATTATGCATTGGTTGAATAATGTAGCTATTATTTCGTATAATCCTTGTAAAATTAAAAATTAGACATTAGGCCTGTTTGCCTTATAGGGTAAAAAGAACCAGATGATTTTTTCCAAATAGCAAAAAAAAACACATTTCTACAATGATGAACTAGCTGCGAATTTTACTGAACACAGTCAGATAGTTGTTTGTTTGGTATGTGTCATTTGTTATAATTGGTTTAGTTTTTACAATATAATTGCTCAAAATCAAATTGGACCTTAGTGCCCCGCCTCATCCTGTTTATTTTGATAATTTAATTCTTTTGCGGTTATTTCAGTATTTTGAGTTGATTTATAGTTTTATGATATAAACATTGCTATTTATTTTTATATTTCCTCAGGAAAGAGTTTTCGTCAAAAAATCTCTAAATTAAAAAAATCGTCAAAAAAGGAAATTAATGCTTTTTTGAGGTTCGAAATATGTATGTTTGTGAGTAAAATTTTCTACAGTAAAAAATAACTTTTTTCTTACAAGTTTTCACTTCGTTTTACAAAAATTCTGAACCGATTTCGAAAAACTAATAACCCTTAGATTGAAAACCATGTCCATAAGGAAATTTACACCCAGCTTTCTAGAATTTCATATGATATTTTAATTATGCTTATTAATTTACTAGTTTATCGAATGGTGCCCAACCAAGTTAAACTAATAAAAATAATTTTTTGATTCCAGAATCCAATCCTGCTTCAGGAGATAAGACTCACCACACAAAACCATCAACAACAGCCAGATAATTTGAACAGAAACAATAAAAATATTCATCCGAGCACAAATACATTCGAATAACATTGTTGATAAAAATTAAAAATCGACATTATTTGCGATGTCTGGCAAAATGGAGAAGATAGTGGGCGTCAAAGAGCTGACAAAGAACCCAGGAGCCATGTGGAGAGCGCTTTTGGCTGAGTTCATTGGTACGGAACTATTAATTTATTAATACGGAATTTTTAATAAAAGTGTTATGTTAAGTGAGAAAGATAGAAAATAATTGAGTGAATAATATAAGATATAACAAATGTGAAGTCAATATTAAGATTTAGCTTTTTTGTGGTAAACTCCAAGATTTTTTATCCAAGGGTCGTATGAAACCAAGTGCCTGGAGCGTGTACGAAATGAGTTAAACATTTTGAATATACGAATCATATTAAGAATTTTGTTAGAATATTTTTAAAATACATAAATAAAATGGATTGCATTTTTAGGTTCAATATGAATTGTAAAAAAATGTGGAAATGCAAGCAGTCGCTCAGTTTATGAAAAGTAACTAGTGGTGCATGGCACCGTGTCTTTAGGCAAATTTCTGGAAATTTCCATTCTTATTATTAAAATATCTATAAAACATGTGATAATTTGATGTACTTATGCCTAATGTTTATTTTTATCCAACAAACGGCATTTTTTTTTTCTTTTTTTATTGGATCTCCGAAACCGCTAGACCTGCATTTTCAAAAATTCCATCAGTTCTTTATTTCGTTAATGCAAATAAAATGTTTTTTCAATTATTTCAATCGGACGCTCTCTTCTCTTAAAAATTGAATTTCCTGGACCTGCCTTTGCCGAAAACTAATCAGCATGTCTCCTTATCAATAGGAATCGCATGCTTTTTGAATCATTCATTCGAAATCGTCGACGAAAAATTGTATCCGCACATACACACACGCTGTTCAGAATTCTTTGAAACGTGAATCTATAAAAAAAATATTTTCGATTTTTTTGCGAGTACTATAACTTAACTTAGCCTACGAGAAGTTAAAAAAGAACAAATAGGGGAAATACGGACAAAATAGTGTTTATGGACAAAATGATTAGGTGGGACATTATTTAAAAATTGCTTAGTTTTATTAACGTTTCCGCGTATAACGTAAAGCAAGCTTTAATAACAATCCTGTCAGATGTTGAGAGTCATTGTCTTAGTTTTGCTAAAACGTTAATCAGTTAAAACGTGTTTCACGCATTGAAAAATGTATTTTAAGGTTGTTTTTCTCACTTTTTTGAGACCTGTTTATTAATATTCTTAATTATCACAATTAAATTAACTTATGCCAGTACTAGTGATTGCATGATCAATTTGATTGCAATAATCAAGTGTTTGGCGAGATTTTGAATAATTATTTATTTTTGTTCAATTTCGGATAGATGGCATACTTATACAATGGAGCAAATGACACAGTACTATTTCGCAAGCATTACAGGGTCAAGAAAAAAAATTAAAACCTGGTCTTGATTGTCTCTTAACTTCTACTCTAAGTATGGAAAAATGAGACATAAAATAAGAAAAAATGGTTCAAAATTCTTTCCAGTTATGGAGAAAAATGTTTTAAAGTTTTTCTAGGTGACATAATTTCTATTTATGCTTGACTAAAAACTATTGTAAACCTTTTAATTTTGTTTAAATTAGTTATTTAACTGAAAATTCTTTAGCTTAGTACATATGACCTATTCATATAAAAAATATACCTTCATTTTTTATATTTATAGATTTCAAATTTTTAAATTTTTTGTAAATTTATTTAGTTTCAAAGAGGACCTCGGTTTTTCATAAATATATAATATGAATTCTAGACTAAATACAGGAATAAATAAAAAAAGGTAAAGAATTAGAGCTACATCTCATATCATTGCCCAAAATTGGAGCCGTAGTTCAAGTCCAATTTTGATCCTTTTTTATCAATGTAAATAAAATGAACATTCTTATTTAATTCTTATTTTCTGGACCAATTTGAAAATTTAATGATGTTTCATGAATCTCAATATTAAAGTGATGATTGGTAAAGCCGTTTCTATATATCTTTGAACTGGTAATTGAAAACAATTTTATCTACGTTTTGAAAGATCCCACGTTTTTGCAAAAAATCCTGAGTAGATTTGGCAAATATAAAAACCGTGAAATAGAATTTGGAATCGTGCTTTATTTAAACATTCCATTTATTTAACAAAAGTTAAAAACATTCGACAAGTATTAATTACTTCTATGTAAAGTTGATCGTTAAAGGATTCATAATAATAAAAATGAGATTTTTGAACTTGTAGTTTAAAATTTAAATTAAGGTGTATTATACTGTATTTTAGTAGATATTTTAAATCATTCATAAACTTGTAACTAAACTTGTATATATCTTTCATAATTCTAAAATAAATGGTGTTTAGTTTAATACACAATCCGATTTAAAAGGATATAAAAAGATTTCACGTGTTGATTAAATTTTGATAAATATTGGTCAAGTCGAAGAAATTAGATTTAAGGCACATTGCTTTTGTATTAAAATCGATTTACCATTATGGTCAAAGAAATAGGACATGGTCAACATGGTTTATGTTGGACAGTCCAGAAACATAATTATATAAATCATTAGTAATTAATTTTTTTTAATTACCACGACTACTCCTAATTTGACCAACGGAATGACAAACATTATTGCATCGAATATCACAACAAATGTTAATAAAACACATGATGTAGTTATCAAAGATATTTCACAATGCTTCACACAAAATACCACCATATCAGTCAAACTCTCTTGTTTTTCTATAATTATGCGTCGTAATAATTCAATAAACAACAAAAAATAATACAGGATTAACTGCAGTCGTAATTTGGCAGAAACAATATAAGTTGGATATCCTTTAACTGAATTTCTACAAGTTGGGGAATATTTTCATTTGAAACATGAGGAAAAAACTTATAAAAGATTTGGCCGCAGAGTTTATGGGTAATCATAACATAATTTATAATATCATTTGTAATAATCAAAATGTTCAAAAACTCAAAATTTTCGAATATAATCTAAAACGAAATAACTTAAAGGAGAGTAACACAGATAAATGTATTAATTATTTTTTCAATTAATATATTTTTTATTATTTATTTTAGGTAATGTGCTTCTCAACTTCTTCGGTTGTGCTTCAGTGGTCAATGTCACGGACCCAAACCAGCCCGCCGACTTAGTTTTGATAGCCCTGACTTTCGGTCTGACAGTGTTTATGGTAGTAATGGTAAGTCAGGATTTTAGATTTTTTTAATATATAAAAGTTGTCAATTATAAAAATATAGTTGTGGTTACTAATACAAAGTCATAACTTCTAAAACTAACAGAAAAATAAATCTGAAATTACATGGATTTTTTTTCCATTTTAACTTTTTTTTCAATTGCCTACAAGAAGTCTTGATAATCGTTCTAAATTTTTGGGATGAGTGCAAATCTTGTAGTGGTAATAATCCAGAAGTTGTTGGAACTTTAATGAAACTGTTTCTATTAGGTGTGAGATTTTACACGATATTGTTAAGAAATCATTTTCTATATTTATTTCAATTACATTTTGATGTTCTTGAATTCCTTTTCAATTCGGCTTCCAGCTTCATAATTCCAATTCTCTATATTCTATAATTCTACTTAAATCTCACAATTAGACACAAGTTTAAGATCACAAGAATTCTATATAATGCTATTGTTAACTTCCCGTAGGGCAAGTTATAGTAATCGCAAAAAAATGGAAAATGAAAATTTTTGCATTTCTCGACGTTTCAAAGGTTTCTGAATTGGCCTACCTTAAAAAAATGGATGTGTGTGTGTGTGTGTATGTATGTGCGGATACAAATTTTCGTCGACGATTTTGGGAACACCGATCAACCGATTTGAATAATTAAAAAAACATTAGTTTTTGGCGAAGGCAGGTCTAGCCGTTCCGAAGATACGGGGCAAAAAGTGCCAAAAGCGGTAACTCAGTTTTTAAGAGAACGGAGCGTCCGATTTTAATAATTCAAAAAACATTTTACTTGTATTGACAAGGTGAAAAACCGATCAAATTTTCATAAAGGCAGGTCTAGCGGTATCGGAGATCTAATGAAAAAAGTTAAAAAAATGTCATTTGGCGGTCAAAAATGATCATTAGACATATGCACATCGAATTATAAGATATTTTACAGAGATTTTAACAATAAGTATAAATTTGGTTTACATTCCTATGGGTTCCGTACCAATGTTTACGCGTTAGACGGCGACGCGGCGCTTACGCGCTTTGATAATTCGTCTTTATGCAGTTAAAGCAGTACGATTGCTTTGAAAAAAAGTTTAGATCTTCTAAAATGTCAAAATAAAGAAAAAAATTTCTTTTCTAAAAAAAATTTAAAAATTTTTTTTTTCAAAAAAAAGTAATTTTTTGTCCAATGTATAGTTTCTCAAACATCTTATTTTTTCGAAGTAAAATTTTTTCAAAAATGTTAATCTTTTTTAAAAAAATAATAATTTTTGGTACGGGAAGTTCCAGCAATTTGCCTCAAGGCACGATGCCTTAATTGCCCTAAGACAGAAATCCACTTACAGCCAGTATCTTCCTCATATCGTAGAATTATTTATCTTCAAGTTCCTTTTCCAGCTATTGCCCATTTGCTTGAGCAGCAACATCTCTCAATTTCTTCACAACTTATTGTCCACTTTTAGAGGCTTTTGTCTGTTTGGAGAATATCAGTTTAAGTGTCAATTAAGGTTCTGTAGCAGCCAAATGTGTGAATTTACTCAAAACAACTCCAATCACTATCATCACATTTTCGGATTATTTCTGGACTCTTCCGATACTTCCGGATTTTTGCAAATAATTTATTCTATATTGAGTATTCCGTTACTATTATAAATCACCTATATATAATCCATTAAATTATTTTTTAAATATATTGCATATAATAGTTAGTTATTTATTTCTCTAATTCCTAATTTAACAATATCTAATCTGGCAGCCAACTTATTAGTTTGTCTGCATTATTCTGAATTGCAACTTCCAAGAATAACTTATTTAAATTGAATCTTTTGAAGTCATTTTCAATAATATTCAAAGTTTTCAAGAATCGTCAAACGCATTTCGAGTTGTTTATTGGCAATAAAACAATGTTTGCTAAATTCAATTTCAATGTTGACATACGACCGTTGCCAAAAATTCTTGATTGCTCGTCCTGAAAATTGCTAAGAAGTGCATACCTGGTTACTAAATATAACAGCGGTTGTAATTTAATTTTCTTGGTGAATTAGTTTTGGAAAATTACTTGATTTTATGAAGACGTTATACAATAGTTGAATTTCAGCTTATTATTCATTACAGCAGTAAAAGTTATTAAACGATTCTTTTATTTGTAGCCGCATTGCCTTTTCGAACCTGACTTAATCTATAATCTAGTCTAGTCAATCAATTTTTTTCAATAATTATGTTGAAAATAGAAGTTCAAATAAGAAAAGAGGAATAAAATACTAAATTTAATTATGTTTAGTGACTTATAACTATGTGCGTTAAGACAAAAATGAACAAACAGAATTTTAAATATTTTGATTTTTTTAAAGAACAATAATAAGTTAAGATTAAATAAAGGTATCGAATTTCTATTTATTAATTTTACAAAACTGCACTAACTAAAGTCTTGAGGCACAATTTTTTATCCATATCGAGTAGATAATGTGACGTTTCAATTTTTAATAAAATTTTCTTTCTCAAAGAATATACTAACAATAAGGTCTCCAAATACAAACTAGGTGCCAGTGACAGTTTGCTTAAGCCAAGTTGCATAAACTTTCCGATAGTGTATATAATTTAATCCGCTATTGCTAGTGGTGCATGGCATCGTGGCTTGAGGCAAATTGCTGGTACTTCTCGTACCTTGATTCAAAATTTTTGGCAGATATAAAACTTCATTTTTTTCTTTCAAAGCGATCGGTCTGAGCTGTTTCAGAAACGAAATTTCCAAGCGTGCATGCGCCTCGTTGCAGTCTAACTTTAAAAATCTAAAAATTTATTTACGAAATAAACAACAATTCAAAAGTTTGTCCAAATGCTAATTCTCAATTATTATCTATTTCCAGTAGGGTTGAACATTCGATTTGTATTGATGGTATGACGTGCTGATTAATTTTTGGCAAAGGTAGGTCCAGCCGTTTCGAAGATACGGGGAAAAATGTGCCAAAAATGATATATAAGTTTTTGAGATAATGGAGCGTTCAATTTGAATGATTAAAAAAACGAAAGATTCAAAAATGTATTGACGAAACGAAAATCTAATTAATTTTTTGGGAAGGCAGGTGTAGCGATTTCGGAGATCCGATATAAAAAGTAACTAGTCGTGCATGGCATCGTGCCTTAAGGCAAATTGCTGAAACTTCCCGTATCGTAATTAAACATTTTTAAAAGCTCAGAAAAAAAATCGACTTTTATTGAGAATTTTAATTTTTTTTTAACATTTTGAACACATTTGAAAAGTTTGAAAAAATTTAAAAATATGCTTATACATATTTATACCTATTTTCTGTACTCTTTGTCCCGTTTTTCCGAAATGGCTGAATCAACATTCGCTAAAAACTAATCAGCACAACTTCTTATGAATAGGAATCGAATGTTTTTTGAATAATCCAAATCGATTAGTCGGTGCTCCCAAAAACATCATCGAAAAATTGTATCCATACATACATACTACATACACACATACGCACAAACCCATTTTTGGAAGATTACTATTTGTAGTACGATGATGGACGATTATTTGTGAGCCGAAAGCCAAATGGCTTTTTTTATATGCATATCAAATTATCAGGTATTTTATACAGATTTTAATCATAAGTACCAAAGTAATAAAAAACGTCATTTTTGTTTTCAAAAATTTCAAAATTCTCAACAAATGTGTTTTAAAAAACTTAGTTTTTGGTACGGAAAGATCCAACAATTTGCCTTGATTCCATGCACTACTAATTAATAAACAAATTCTCTCTATTACAATTAATTCCCTCAAAGAGTGTACCATGGATTGAATGAAAGAAAAAAAGACAATCGCAATCGCAAAGGTAATCGTAACAGAATAGAACCATGTAAGCATGAAGTAAGTGGAAGTAAGGAGGAAGAGCAACAGAGTAGTCGCAGCCGCAGCCGCAGCCGGTACTTTGTGCTAGCGTAAATAATCGCTGATAATTATTACTCTCGACAAAAAAACAAACTCATGTACGACACGATTTACTGACTCATTCACGACATCACGGACGGAAAATAAAGCTTTTTGTTACGGAAAATAGAGAAAAAGTTAGGTAACACAATAGTCATTCTATATTAGGTCGAACAGCGAACAGAGTGGCATTGGATGCTGGAAATGATATATGAGCATCATTTTGAAACAGTTACGAAATTACCTGATGTTCTGGATCCAATTGTTATATTAATTGCAGAAACTATTAGGGATAGATAAATAAAATTTTAAACTAGCTGTAAGTGGAATTCTGTCTTGAGGCAATTATGGCATCGTGCCTTAAGGCAAATTGCTAGAACTTCCCGTACCGTAACGAAATGTTCGTGGAATACTGAATGTTTTCAAATAGATTATTATAAATATTGTAACATTGTCTAATATTTATAAGAATTATATAAACTGAATTGCAAGTTGATATTATTTGTAAAGTATATTAGAACTATAGTCAGAATTAAAATAAAATCTGAAATATTTTCGATATACAAAAACTAAAAAAAAAAAAAAAAAAATGGAACAAAATTTTTTTTCCAAAATCAATTATTTTGTTAAGACAAGCAGAAAGTTCTTTGAATCATTTAAATCGGACGTTTAGTTCTCTCAAAAATTGCCATTTTTTACATATTTAGCTCCGTATCTTCAAAATGGCTGGGCCTGCCTTTGCCAAAAACTAATAAACACTTCTCCCAATCATTACTATAATAATTGATTGTTTTTTACATCATTCAAATCGGATACTCCGTTCTCTCAAAAATTCGGTTTCTATTTTTTGCACTCTTTGCTCCGTATCTCCGAAACGGCTGGACCTGCCTTTGCCAAAAACTAATCAGCTCTTTTCCCTATCAATAGGAATCGAATGTTTTTTGAACCATTCAAATCGGTTGATCCGTACGCCCGAAAACGTGGGCGAAAATTTGTATCCATACATACATACACACACACACACACACATCCATTTTTTCTGAGGTATGCCAAAATGTTCAGAAACCTTCAAAACGTCGAAAAA